AAAGGAGCGTTTCCAAAAATGGAAACGGTGGGCGGGATGACACTGTGTTTGATTTATTACATGAGCAATATCTTGGCAAATAGAAAAAAAAGACGTTTTTATTTTATATTCTAGCTTGTCGATATCAGCAGTTTGAGCTTCTAATTCATACAAAACTATAACTTAGTATTTTGACTTCACAAACATCTAATTTGAACCAGTGCTGCATTCAACATACCACGAGACACACAAGAATATGTTTATTTGTGTTTTTGAATATTTACTTTTAAATTGAGTATGTATTGTACTAAAATTTGAATTATAATCAGTTTGCTGCCAAACTTATTGATATAACTTCATGAAATAGTAGTTCAATAAAATTTTGAATGTGAGTCAACAAACAAAATGACATGGCTTTTCACCCGTGACCCATCTCGAAAGGGTTAACAAATCCTGAAAGAGAGGATGTGACAGGTGGGTGTGGCAAGAGTGGTCTGATTTTCTACTTGGTGGCTCTAACCAACAAAATTGAAGGCTATATAAATTCTGGTTTGTCTGAGCAATAACAATCTTATAGTGAGAAATTTATGCTTAATTGTGTACTTATTGGTGGGGTGGTGAATAAAATAGAGAAGTAGAGATGCTCAGAGAAAATGTGTCGCACTAGAGGAAATTTAGGATTTTTTTTTAAATATTGCCTTATAAAATTAAGAATTTAAAACTTGTATGCTATACTAATTGGTATAATATAAATAGAGACCATTAGATACTTAGCTAAATTTAAAATTGCAATTCTATTCAGTATACTGAGATGGAAAGACTAACTTCAAGTTGCTAGGCTTATCTCAGCTTACTCGTGTTATACTTGAATACATTTGTAAAAGAACGGGAGGAGGTTGGGAATATGAAACACGTAAGAAATATTAAGATTTGTAGTTGTATTTAAGATCATTTTATCTAAGAATATTTATTATGATTTTACTTGTTTTGTAAAGGTGGAGATTGCGAGTTTCATGTCATAGAAATTTTAGGGTAGTTTCATTTCTACTTTAGGAATTACAAGAACTTTTAAGAGTAACTGTCTTCCCACAACTGGCTGCAGACAGTGAAAGGCAGTAGGAGTTAAGATGTTGTGGGTGTAAACACTCAACTCCATACCTTTAATTGGTTTTACATGTTTGTTGGCTAGTTTAACATCAATGTTTGGATATTGTCTGGCAGATGGGATATCCCCCAATGCATTTGGGAGCTATTACCACAGGCATTATCTGTTATAACAACTAGGACTGACAGTAAATCGTTTTCATGCTTGTTTTATATTAAGTTCATTACTGATTTTAATCACTTATTAACAATTAATGAAGCTATTTATCTCATTAAAATGTAATAGCTTCAGTACTATGTATAAGAATGTGTAAAAAAGTATTTTTGTGTACTTACCTGAGAATGCCTGTGAAATTCATTTATAGGCCCAGTACAGTCTTGCTCATGCCCAGAAGTCCTTTAGATCCCTTGTCCAAATCCATGAGAAAAATGGTAAGTTTAATATGTGAACTACTTATTACTTTAAAGGTACATTTTTAGGCTCAGAGTACTTAACAGAATTTTTTGTCCACCTTTATTTCTGTTAATTTACATTTAAATCTGTAGTTGAAATTCCATCTTTTGATTTGTTAAGTTTGATACTATAGCAATACACGTTTTTCTTTATCTATAAGTGTTTGATTGTTATCAGTTTTGTCCATAAAAGGTGTACTAATAGTAATTTCGCCAGTAAAGTAGTGTTGACAACTTTCTTATGGTTTTGTTTTTTATTACTGTTGTTCAGAGTACTTTTCTATCTGCTGTAATGTATAATAGCACATTAATCTTTATATTCTCAATATGAACTTACTATATGTGATTATACATTACAGTAGCACATTAATCTTTATATTCTCAATATGAACTTACTATATGTGACTGTAATGTATAATCACATATAGTAAGTTCATATTGAGAATATAAAGATTAATGTGCTGCTGTTATGTGTTAGAAAATCAGTTGCTTAACTTGTAAAAATGGCAGTTGATATTTATATAATTTACCTTTTTTTCAGGTTGGTTCACACCACCAAAGGAAGATGGTTGACAATAAAAAAAGTGTGTAATGAGTATACATGTATGAAGTATCTGTAGCGATAGAGAATCTTTACCTTTTTTATGTCTTGTGGTCCTTTGATCAACACTTCAAATAAAGAAGAAAAACAGCTGAAGGTTTCATATTTCAGTTTGTACAAGTTTCACTTCATTACTTAAAGAAATGTAAAATAATAGATTTAGGACTTCCTGGATATTGTTCACAATATATGTGTGAATAAACTTACTTCTTTGTATAGTAATATCTCTTTGAATGAATTCCTGTGTTAGGTGTTATATCAAACTTCAGACACAGATTATTTGTAAACACATCAGCTGATGACTTTTGGTCAGTCTATTTTTTGTAAAATATTTTGAAAATTTCATAGTTCAAGTGAATACAAGCATATGAAGACAATATACGACCTTGCTTCAAATGAGGCAGTTTGAGGTGTAAGAAATGGATATTCAGTAAGCTGATTTTGTCATTACTCCTTACAATAAGCAGAAGTGTGAGTTACCAAGCAACTGTAAGCAAAACATTTCTGTAACTTTCAATATGGTGTTAATGTAAAGTGCTACTTTTACATGTCTTTAATATATATCCTGTTTTGCTACTTCTCGTGTCTTCAGATTTTGAGTAAAATTATGAATGAAGTACGTGTATACTAGGTCTTTGAAAACAGATCATGTAATCTAGTTTATCATTGAGCATTTGAGGCTTACAAAACAAATGAGACTTGTGTTCTGGGATAGAAAATCTGACCCAAATTAGAAAACAAGTGACTTGTTCTTTTTTTTCTTTGTACAAAGAACTGTAATTCTATATTTTTGTCTGGTGTATTTTGTTTATGCAAACAATTATCACAAAGTCCATGAAATAATTCCATGATTTTGTAGTGTAACACAAGTTGTTGATTTTTATTACTTTAATACATCAGAATGATTGTTGTTGATACATTGAATCTGTAAGTATTTCTCCCTTTGGAGAAAAGGTATAGCCAAAGCATTGATATTAAAAGTGATTCTTATATGCAACAAGTCTGTATTTTGTGTTATTTACAAACCACCGACATTACATGTTGAGCCTCTGACATGAAATTCTGGTTCTTCTGATTGAAGGAAATTGTATAACAACATAAAAAGATAAAACCAATTTACTGTAGCATTGTATACACTAAACTCATTTCTCTTTCAAGACAACGTACAGAAACATATACCAACTTAATTTTAGTAAAATATTCCTTCCACAATGAACTTTAACTTACTGTGTAATGTTGATTACAACTCTGCTTTATTTCTCTAAGCTACAGTTCCTTAGTTTTATACAGGTATAGAAATATTAAATGATAATCACTAACACATAACTGGTTGATTTAATTTATTTTTTGAGAAATACAAATTTTTAACATTACTAGGAAGCAAATGAAGTATTTTTTAAATAATTTAAATTTTTCACTAATAGTGATTTAGGACTTCACAAAATATATGACAACAATATACACTCATACATTTTTCTTTGGTTGTTTGTTAATTATGTATTAGGGTTTTAGAAGTCACATTGAGTATTGTAAGCAACATTGTTCTCAGTGGGTAATTTCAAGGGTTAACATTTTAAATATCACTTCTTTATCACAGGATTAATGCTAAATTTATTTAATCCTATACTCTAAGAATAAGAATACGTTTGTGAATGTCCAATCTGTATACCTTCTATGAAACCATTGGCCAGACCCACAACCATGCCGATACCTGTCAGCAGGCTTACTGGTGAAACAGTACAACCTTCTCAAATATACAAATTCTCCTTCCATTGTCTGTTTACCTTAAAGAATGTCAGTTCCAGTAATAAAGCTAATATTGTAAGCCAACACCTACATTCCTAACTAACATTAAGTAAACTAATTTAGTTTAATGGCTGGAGTATTTAAACCTAAAGTTTTGTAACGTATGTGTTCACACTGCCAACTTGACTTCTGACAAAAGTTGAATATAATCAAAATAAATAAGTAAAATCATGGTTGATTTCACAAATAAATATAGTTAACCAAAATTCGTGCATCTTGTTAAGAAATAGTTCAATTAAACATATATATATATATATATAGAAAATCAATACAGACATTCTGAAGAAAAGTAATCGTAGTTTCACTTTATAAAAACTATAAAATAATTGCAAAATATTCCTTCACTAACACCTTTTAAAACAATGGGCCCATAATGTTTCTCGCCTGGTGTGTGTTATCCAGAAACTTTGTGTTACTTCCAGTGAAAAACCCCCAAATATTCCAGCTTGGAACCAAACTAAACTTTCCTTTTTTTACCAGCATTTATGAAATGCAGAGCATGTTGTATTTCTCTTTCAATCTACTCTAATCATTGCACACGTGCGCCTCGATAATCCAAGCCAAACTTATTTATTTGGAAAGATGTGTTTCTTTTTTGTATGTATTACATCAATGTACATAATTAAGTATACACGAACTGAACCACATACAAGGTAAGACACGTGTGTACTAACATTTTATCTCAATGTCGCATTAATCAATGCATGTCTATAGTATATGACGTCGTTCTTCAGCAGTTAGTGTAATAACCAATACATATTTAGCTAGATATAAACATTCCATGCCAATTCCTTATGCTGTATAACAGCACAACTACTTACTATCAAGAAGACAGGTAAAGATAATCACATACAATTTTGTATGGCAACATAACGCAAGGTTATGTCAACTTAAATACACACTTCAACAAGACATTTAATCTGAGTGTTCAGAAAGCAAGGATTCCAAAGTTTTTTCAGTTAGTCATCGTCAAGAGTTGGAACCCACTATCAAATTGTATAGTATATTATCTGACAACATCATCTGTCGTAGCTGTGTATCAAGTCAGTATTTCATGGTTTGCTCCACAGAAATGCGATTATTTCAAGTTAGCAGACCAAAATATAAACACCTTGGAGAGTAAGCGTTGCAGCACCATTCTTAACTTTTGATCAACCAACTAACTGTGTAATAATCAAGCAGCTGTCACGTGCATTCCTTACTACCTAAGCTGTCATTTGATGTTTACTGGACTACTTCCTGTCAGTCGTTGATTTTGCAGTCAATTTGCCATGTTAGCTAGTCATCAGAGCAGAATGAATGAGCCTCAGTTGTCGTTACTTCATTCAACTCATTTTGGTTGGTCAAATATGTATTGCCAGCTTCTTCCTGTTCTTTTAACTGAGTCGAGATTATATGATAGTTACGGTAATCTTTCTCATATAGTTACTTGTACTTGGTTTTGTAATACGCCATCATAACGTGTGTATGGAAGATGATCAAACCAATCAGTTTAGTGAAGGTTCATAAAATTAGCGAGCATATGTTTAACAGTTTGTGCCACTCATTCAACCAGACCATTAGATGGAAGATTATATGATGGAGTGTGTATTTTCTCACATACAACTTAGCAAACATCATGCTATTGAAACTGATTCCTTAATATGGATCTCTCCTGGTGGTCTGAATCATGTTATCCATTTTCAGCCAACACGTATGCAATGGATAAGTTGGCTAATGTATAAGTTTCATCACGTTTGGATAAGTACTTAATAATAGCCAACACATACCAATTATCTATCCCAGTTTTGAGCATAAGACCAGCTATATATATGGTGATTCTCTCAAATGAAGAACTTGCAAGTCTTAACAAGAATTTTCCTTGATTTAATAATTTATTTCCTGTACAATGCATAGGCTTTATGCAAATGGGTCTTAAAATTAATTTATACTGTGTATGACACTCCTTTTGTGCACTACAGTCTCTGCTGGCTGCTATATCTTGGTGGTTCATTACAATGGTACGATACACCAGCACTCATAAGTGACTATACAAATGCGAAATTTTACAGATATATCAGTACTACATTCACCAGATGCTACGAAAATCAATAGTAAATTTACCAGTTTATGATGATTGCTCATGGCAAATAGCGCTCAAACTATATGTGGATCCGGTGTTGCTTCTCCTGAAGTTTCTGTCTGATCACGTGTTTACCCACCCACAAGCAAAATTGTTACCACTCGTATAGTTAATTGTCACTGCTTCTGTAATGACGTTGATGTATGGAGTCTAGAGCCTGAACATTCAATGAATAAATATGATATAACCATCTGTTGAGATAATACAGCAGCACTTTTTTGCTACTAACTTGTGTTGTACAAAAGAAGTTGTAGTCTTACAGCATCATTATGCAATACGTAATTATATCTTTTGGATTTTCAAAGCTTGTCTGCCATTTCAGTGACATGTGGTCCACATGAATGGGCAACATACAAGCAGATGGTGGTGAGAAGTATTATAATTGCAAACAGGTCCATTTGGCCATGCATTAGTGACATTCACGAAAATTTAGTATACCACTAGCATTAACATCCTTGATAAGTGAATAGTCCTAATGAGGATAAATCAACACTGGCGCTTCAATCAAAACACATTTCAAGGTAATTAATGCATGTTTATATCAATGCAGACAGTGGTGTGGCTATCTTTGAGAAATTGGTCCAGGCCATCAATAATATGAGATGTTGATATTCATTCATCCACACAAAGTATAAATCGGCCTTTGTCATTGCAGATAGTTATGTAGCTTTCTTCGAGAAATTAGTCAGAAACTACCAATAATATGAGGTGTCCATAATCTTTCCTCCACACAAAGTATTTATTGGTTTTTGTCAATGCATGCAGTGGTATGGCTATCTTGGAGAAATTGGCAACAAACCATCGGTAATATGGTATGAAATATAGAGAACTAGGAAATTCTCAAACTAGGGCCAGCTCTTGACAAAAGTAGTCTTTGCAGGGTCAGTAGACACTATTCATGTCTACCAAAAATAAAAAATTATGTTTTTCTTCAACAAATCTACAGTAGTCTAAATGTTTACTATTATAGCCACTGTACGATACATCAACCCAAGTATTTTTTTTACTGTTACTTCATCTACGGGTACTTATATGTACACATATTGCATGATATTATTAAAAAATAATGACTAATAAAATTTTCTTTATTTATTAATACTTGTGAAACCGTTGACTTGGGCCCCTTCCTCCTAGGTCTCAGGGCCAGTCCAGGTTCCTCTCACACAAAAGCATACCTATGTGTAAGTCACATGCCACTTTTTAGATGCTTTTGGAGTTTACATGTAGAGGACTACAATGGAAGAGATTTTAGTCTTTGGTCACCTGCTTCAGAATCCAGCTGAGAACCTGAAATTTGTATTCCAGCCCACCAAAGATGCAACCTTGAAACCAAAACCGGGAAAGTTTTCATTCATGTGCATAAAAGCTGAGTTTTATAGACAAAAAACCTGTTATATATAATGTATATAGATAGAACACTAATTGCGAGTCTATAACGAAGTGTGTGTTGAACATTTACGTAAAATAATTTGAAATATATGATTTATATATATTTATTTTCAAAGAAATTGTTGAAAAATATTTTCTCCGTGAATTATATGTACGCAAAATTTATACACAAAAAAAAGAAAAAAATACCACAAAGTTGACGCAAGAAATGATGTCACTGTGCATCTTCTGGATTATGAGGAGAGGGAGACGTTCTCTAAAGACTTTCCAGGACCAAAATTATTGGCTGTAGCCCTGATTACAAACGTAAATTGGTGCGAGACAGAATTCATACAATTCTTTCCCTGCTAAAAGGAGTTCTTAAGTATGCTTACATAATACATTTTGGCTGACTAGTAACCAGAAACTTGACTTGGTATATTAAACCAGCCCCCCAGTGGCACAGCGGTATGCCTGCGGACTTACAACGCTAGAAACCGGGTTTCGATACCCGTGGTGGGCAGAGCACAGATAGCCCATTGTGTAGCTTTGTGCATAACTACAAACAAACTGTACATATTAAACCAAATATATTTCCATGTGAATTAGCAAAAATATGTCAACACGTAATGCCGTATTTATCCGCCAGAAGTCAGTAAAGAACTTCGCGTTTCATTCTTTCTTAGAATCACCACTGGACA